TTCCTCCTTCTCTAGTTTCACCATGAGCATTCATTTTCATGAAAAACTAATTGTATTTGTATCCATTTTCTTTTAGGTAACCTTGTCTCCTTTGGTGTCTCGCTCGCTCCATTGTAAGTCTTGGTTCCAGTCTTTAATCATTCTCTCCTGGTCATCGCTCATCGTTCCACTTTTTGAAATTCTAATTTACCAATGTTTTCCGGTGAAGGCCAACATTTTACCAGATATACAAGAAGAAAACCTCAGAAGGGTTCCAATCCATCCCTTATGTGATTTCCCTCTTCAGTGCCATGCTTTGGATTTACTACGCGCTGCTCAAGAAGGATGCCATCCTTCTCATCACCATCAACACCTTTTGCGTCTTCATACAGACATTCTACACTTTTACTTACTTCTACTGCGCTCCAAAGAAGGAGAGGGTAAGTCTACCTAGACAATACAAAAATTAATTTCGTACTTTTAGCTGGCTAGCTATGTGCATGCTTCATTTCTCCTTTCCTTCACGAAAATAAAGTTTCTATTTCAAGCTTAATTGAGAAACGTATTCATTGCAGATTGTGACTGTGAAGCTTATCCTCCTTTTCAATGTCTTCGGGTTTGGAGTAGTTTGCCTCTCCACTCTCTTCCTTGAAAAAGGATTGCGTCTTCGCGTCCTCGGATATATTTGTATGGGATTTGCCTTGAGTGTGTTTGCTGCTCCTCTTTGCATTGTGGTGAGCATAAAGCTATGAAAGACATACTTTTTGTGTATACAACATAGATACGACTGAACTTCTTTGTCTTAATTAATTAACTCTCTATTTTTCAGAGGAAAGTTATAAAGACAAAGAGTGTCGAGTTCATGCCAATTTACTTATCACTTTTCCTCACATTAGGCGCGGTCATGTGGTTCTTCTATGGCCTTTTATTGAAGGACTTGAACATCGCCGTACGTTACTTAATTAATAAGCTTTGCTTAATCTTTAACTCTATTTTCTTAAGACTAAATTTTTAATGCTTTTTTTCTTCTCTGTGGCATCATGTCGAACAGATTCCGAACGTCGTAGGATTTCTTTTTGGAATTCTTCAGATGATCCTTTATGCCATCTACAGGAAGAAACCCAAGCAGGTGGTTGAAGAGCCAAAGATAGCAGAGCACATCGTTGACATGGTGAAACTAAGCACAATGGTCGTCGGCTCGGAGCTGAGCACACTGGTGCCTCAGCCGACCACCAATGACAACAATGGTGGGATTGTGGAAGCTCAGAAGGTGAAGAAGGAAGGAAGCAATACTGAGGAAACCAACAAGCAGAATATGAAGGGCTCCAATCAAGTTTAACAAACTGTATTTGCATGAACTGGGTGTTTCCTCCTCCAGGGTGTGTCTGTAGCTAGTGTGATTTGCTTGGCATGTACACATCTAGCGGCCATGCAAGCAATGGAATAATACTGTGCCTTTGATAAATATGTTATTATTCCAAAAGTCATTGTCTAAGTCAAAAGCAAGGGTACCTTTTCCCTCTCTCTTCTAAATCTGTATAATCGTACTAATTAATTTGCAATTTAATTTGTGTTTATCTCATCCCTATATATGTGCTTTATTAATTTCATCTTGCCTACCTTTTACCTT